ATAAATTACCAAATGCGTATTAATTCTAGATGCTATTCACTGTCTATTCGTTGTCGTGTAATAGTAATTTGTTGGGCATAATCGAACCAATCCCAGTTGTATAATTATATTAATTACAATCTATTTTGTTTGAAGAAACATCAAAGTTAAAATTGATGTAACTTATTGTAATGTTAAATTATACCAATTTATATAATAAGTAATTCAACTTGGGATATTTTTTTTCACTAATAACGAAAAATTATGTTTGATAATTGCACATACCTATCATCATCATCCACGGAGGAAAAATTATTAGGATATACTTGAAAAAGTATTTCTTCAAAATTTAACATTCTTTTAAATATTAAAATATTATTCACAAATTTACGTGATGTTATATAAGGTGGCATGACTTTGTCAGATGTTTTTCGTTGATATTTATCAATAACCAATCACTTAAAATTAATTGCACAAAATAAAACAATCTTAGTCATTAATTAATTAATAATTTTTGATTTATACCTTCTGAAATATCTATATAACAATTTAACCATTTCTAAATTATACCAATGTGGTTTAAATGATTTTCATCATTTATTTGCGTCCATGGCAACCACCGTTGTGATAAATAAATAGTTTAAAGGAATCAGAAGGTCGCTGCATTTGGGTGACATGGTGGAACATTACTTTAAAAGTTTAAAAATTGAAGTTTATTGTACATGAAAAATTAATAAAATAGAGACCTTGTGGAATTTCAAATTAGTCTGACAGGCGAATGAGAATCATTGCATATGTCTAGTATTTGTTTAAATACTCACTACATATGTAAACTCGATAACTCGGTCATGTGGGTGAGCTCATATGGGCGACTTATCGAGTAAACCGACTTATCGAATTAAATTGCTTAAATATTAAAAAAATGGGGTGAAAATTTTGGCCGACTTATTGAGTTTACATATGTATATTGAAACACGATTACCATCATGTTCACCCTCAAGTTTTGCTGGTTCTATTAATACGTGGATATTGATTCTGTTGGTGAATAAAAATATGTAACATAATAACCATATTTAGTATTTTATGAATGGCAACGAGCCATACCGAAATTCAATGGACCTAACTAGTCTATTGCCAGCTCTGCTATATTAAACCGTATTCCGTACATCTGTGCCTCCGTACTAAATAATGATCTGTACGTAAAAAAGTTGCAATGTTCAAACAATCAAATTTTGAGTATGCGAAAAAGAATAGCGTACAGAATCTCCACTAACACCAACCGAAATTTGTGAAGAATGCATTAAATTTAAGACCACCATCAACTCTAATATATAATAATAAATGTAAAATGATCATCGGAATATTTACCATTATCGGAAAACCCCGATAATGATAATAATAATAATAATAATAATCATAATGATAATAATAATAATAAGGTCTCCCCGCAAGTGCATCATTATTATTTGCAGATCTGGTCGAAATAAGGTTAAAATTGATTTTTACTATGTCTCAAATTGAAATGCTTCGACTTTGGGAATTTGATTTCATGTAATTTATTGATGAAAATTTATCTAATAAAAGTTTCTCTCTTCACTTATACCTTATAAACAAATAATACGTATGAGTGAAATGTGAAAACACAAAATGCAAGGAAAATAGTTTTTCCTTATCTGCAATTTTCCATACGTAAAACAAAAAAATATCATAGTTTTTCCTCTACATTCATTTTTATAGGGTTAACATTAGTGTTGGCTTCCAAAAATTTTACAACTGTGCAAAAGTCCAAACTAGTCTTGACTTTTTACTTTTTAGTTTTGACGTATAACTTTTAATACAGCAATACTGACATGAATGTCATTGTGATGGAGCAAATTCTATAATTATCAAAAATTATTTGACAGATTATGTCGTTATACTGGATATATAGTGAATGACATTATATTCGTAAGCTTTGCTTTAATTATAACAGAAGCGTATTAAAAAAAGATGAATATACAGTATAAACTGGTAGAGGGAAGGTTTATTTCAACAGCCTCGCTAATTTTGTCAACTTTATCAATTATTTCAACACTCTATCGTTGTCGTAGAATTAATCAGGATTTGACTTGTTCTCGTTTCTATTTAAAAGGCCCATATAGCCAACAAATTTATTGCTATTTGTATTAGTGTTGGTTTCCAAAACTCGAGAGTTTCGCAACCGTGCGAAAGTCAAAAGGTTTCGCCACAAGTCGAAACTTGTTTTGATTTTTGGCTATTGACTTTTGATTTAGTTTTGACATATAACTTTTAATTTTAGTTTTGACTTTCACCTCTTCAAAATAGTTTTGGCGACCAACATTAATTTGTATCGAATGTTTTATCCGTTTCTTCATTTGATCGTTTATTGAACGATTACCGGCAGCATTTTTATTACCACATGATGCGGGTCTGCAAATATTGATAATAAACAACAGTTTGCTTGGGAAAGATCGGAGATTGACAATAATTCAAGTTTTCACTTTTAATACTAACATTAATATAGTTCGTCATCACATTATGAAGATGAAGAAACTAGCCGGTATAAAATTTAGTATAATAATATGAGCTTCGAGTACTCTCGCAGTTTCGTTTGTCAACTCAAATCCTCCATTAAACATGTGTTCACAACATCTTCATTTTTTAGGTTTAGTTTCCAACGGATCAAACAGGACGAGCTAGTTATTTGCCGCACGTGGTGTATAACAAATATTTTAATGAATTTGATAGGAAGAATTTGAAAGACGATTATTATTAACATCAGATTCTGTCCGGAAATGATAATTTTAAAAGAAGTTTTTCAGAGAAATAATAGATAAGAGCAAACTTTATAAATGTTTCGTGGTTTTTTATTCGTGAATAAATGTGTTTTAGAAGATAAATGTATTTTTTCTTTACTGAATGAATGTTAATAATAAACAATACACCCAATACACCAATCCCAACGATTTTTCAGTTGCAATCCTTGCTGTTACTAGAATCTGGTATTAATTAATTAATACTGTTATTATTATTAAAAAGTTCGTCAGAAGACAAATATCAAGATCATTTAGCAAAGTATTATAAATATTATAAATATTTAAATATTTAATTGTTTTGATCATTTGATGCTAGTGGTATAGGACGGAAACCCCTTGAACCACTATTTTTGAAGATAAGTCACTTTCTGTCCCACCTTTTAGACAACGGATTTATAGATGGGGCTTAAACTTTATCGTGACAAAGACTTTTTTTTTTAAATATTAATTGGTTATTCCTTTTTGGTGTATTATTAATATTAAATCAAGATTTTCGCGGACAAATAAATTCCTGATAATTTATTTCTAGATTTGGTCTTGTATAGCAAAAATTTAGCATAATAAAAAAATTATTGTTATCTAAATATAATAACCAAACCATATATCCAAATATTGTTAATAATGTTACTAAATATACAGGTCACATGATTTTATCTTGCATTTTTTTTGAACGAATCAGACTTTTTATATTTTGAAATTTGGTTCCTGCACCATAGTAGGAATTATAGTTCCGCTACTTAAATCTTTGATATTGTGAACTTTTAATGGAAAAACTTTGTATGTTTTCATCTCATAATATGAGCGAGAGAGCTAAAAAATTTTGATTTCCAGAGGTCCAAATATATATTAATATATCCTTGTGTAATTATTATTTACATTTTGTTAATCATGACTATATATATATATATATACACACACACACATCTTAAATTTCCTGTCCAAGTTACCAAAAAGGTATATTGGAAATTGACACAGCAAATAATGTGGCTGCGTTTATATCCAAATTACCATAAAGTGTATTCTGTTGGTTCACACGACTCGTCCATATATCCACCTTTAGCTTTGTTTAACGATAAAAATGTGGAAATTGAGCTATTATACAAGATGAAATTGATGAAACAGCATCATAAAATATTTCGTTAAAAGTTTTACGTGAAAAATTTCATCCGTCTTTGCGGCAGCACTAAAGATAATAATAATAATATTATTAATTAAATGATTTTAATTATTACAAACAAGTATATATCGAATGGTTGTCTTCTTACACAAATTAATCAACATAAAAGTCATACATGGTACACACAGTTTTTTTGTGTAAATAATAAAATTCAAATATTTTATTTCAATGATGACGATGATGGTATGCACTGTAATAGTTAAAAAAAATATGTAGTCACCGATTAATTGAATCGAAAAGAAATTTAATTTAATTTTACATTATCATAATCGTCATCATCATGATTATTATTATAATAGTAATAGTAATAGATAAAATGCATAAGTGGTGTGGGTAAGTACTTGCAAATATGTAAAGATCTGCACATAGGAAAAAAATTTTTTTTTTTTCGGTGGTTCGGTAAAAAACCGAAGCGAAGACGAATTGAAAATTACATTATTTATTTATTTATATTTTTGTTTTTTTCAATTAATTTCCCAATAAAGAGAACACACAATAATTATTTTAGAATGTACTTGTATTTAAAAAACATAACATTAATTTAAATAATAATAATATAATGAAGGCAACTCCGAGTCAGTCGTGAACGGTACCGGATGGAATAGTTAAGGTGTGACAATGTGAAAGAAAGTAAAAATTAAAGTTAAAGTCTGGCGTTTTCTTTTTATATTCATTTATATAATTTAATTAAAACGAATGGATAATGTAATATTTGTTTTATTTTTTCTCAAGCACAAAAATATTGTTTGATTAATCATTACCAATAATTTCAATCAAACGATACTTTTTTTTTGCTCTTTACACAAATGCACGTACTTCCTCCCCTCGCTCTCTATCACCCTTCCACACCTTCCCGTCGTATCATCTCCCATTATTATCGTTCATTCTTTTTTGATATGTCTTGGTGGTGACTAGATAAATAATAAATAAATAAATAAATAAATAAATAATAATAATAATAATAAATAATAATAATAATAATAATAATAATAATAATAATAATAATAATAATAATAATAATAAATAAAATGGAAGTCTAAAAATTTTAAATTTCATGTTTTTTTAGTGTTCATGAAGACTATTTAATTTAATTTAATTTAATTTAATTTAATTTTGCCTTTGTTTATTTGTTTTCCTTTTTTTATTATTATGAATGAATCGTGATTAGTAGCATAACAAAGTAATGGTATTGGTAATGGTATTGGTATTGGGCATTGGTATTTAATATTGGTGATGGTGTTAATTAGTTTAGTATCTTTGTTTTCCATTTTAAGAAAGCCCGGATTACTTGGGTTAGAATGGAAAAGTTCCAAAGAAAAATATAAAAGCAAAGACAAAGAACAAAGGAAGAAAGAGAGATATCGGTAAAAGCGTCGGGTACTGGATAAAGAGGAAAGGGTTGATATGAAAATTTATACAACATATTTTTAATATCTATTGATCATACGTTTTTCCATACTAATACAATAGGTAATTTTTCCGTGATTTAATTAATATTAATAACTAGTAATATTACTATTACATGTTGTTTAGGAAATAACGAAAAAAAAAAATATTTTAAATTTCAAACATTAAATAAGATTCAATTTTAATCAATTATTTAATTGGTTTTCATTAAATTAATCATTATTGAAAATAAATAAAAGAAATTTATAAAGTTTAAAAATGTAATTAACAGATAGAAAAATTGAGTTTTTAATTAAAAACTGCAACCTTGACCGTAATACATAATATAATTAAGATTTAAGAATTAGGTTATGACGATTTTATACAGTTTTAAAATAAAAACTGTGATTTGGACTTGGACTTTTATGTAAGCTGTTTTGTAAGCCATTATTAAATAAACTACTGATCGACCAACTTCTGAAAAATGGTTTCCTAAACCACCAAGAATCGGTTTTGATTGCGACCGACCAGAATTTAAATATAAATAGTCTTGGTGTATCGTTTGACATCCAAATATTTTACCGATATAGTATAAAAATTTTGCGCACATATATACAATGAGATCCGCGATCTTGGATTCAAGAATATAAACTGGTTTAGGACAAATAACAAGAAAAAAAAAAGTCAAAATAAAAATAATTGACAAAATTTTTAATGTCACACATCGGATGATAAATTAGGCTGAATTATCATCATCATCATAATAATCATCATCATAATCATCATCATCATCACTATTTATCATTACTATCATTATATCAAAAAGAAAATCGGGGATCTTACCAGGAAATCAATATTGGAAAAGATTTTACCGGCCAAATCCAAATTTGTTATAATTATTCATTTTTCCTTTTTTGTATTATTGTTATTATTGTTATTAATAAATAATTTATTTGCCAAATTTCTATTTCTATTATTTAATTTTTGATGAGTTTCCCCTCTCTCTGCTAATCAAATAATTACCCGGATATTCCTTTTTTGAATATAAAAAATAATCTTTCATAAATGCAAGAAAAAAAAAAGCCTTTTGAAAAAATCGTCATTCAAAAATGGGAAAATCAAAAGATTGTTCGATTCGATGTTATGGTTTCTTTTTAAAAATGAATTGATTCATTATTGAGAAACAAAAAAAAAAAACGAAAACAAAAACAAAAACAAAAAGAGCCGAAAATTTTTTTTTTCACAGGTTGTACAAGCAAAATTAAAAAAATTTAAAATCATCTTTTTAATAGAACCAATTAGATCATCATGAATCATCAACATTAATTTAAGACTCCGAACGGAAATTGATGGTTTTGCAGAATTATTTACTGTTGTTTTCATAATAATTTCGACGACCCATCACTATTATTTATTTATAAAACAACACAGAATATCAAAACCAAAAGAATCTTAGATACATCATAAACGTGAAGTATTTGATAATGTTGTAAATTATGCCCACGCATGCATATTTGCATAATACTACTTAATATAGATCATAATTAAAAAAAAATCATTTAAATTTGAAATTTTAAAAACTTTTAAACCTTTTAATTAATTAATTAATTTCTAAAATAATGTTTTACGAAAAATAAATCA